AACAAAGAAATTCAATTGTAGATCTCATTTTCATTAAAAAGTGGAAATTGATAATTAAGATAGAAATGATGGGAACTTTTAGGTATGTAATCACTCACTGTGCTTGTGATAGAGAAGAAGCTGGATATAACCTGATTTACTTCCTATGTTTTTTGGAGCGCAGATTTTAAAATTTTCAGAGGAACAAGAGGTAGAATCTCAGAGACTAAAATTAGAGAAGAGAAGTCATCCCAAGGGGGATAAGAAATTCTCAAAAATGAAATTCTAAAGGGAAACAATTCTGCTGAGTGCAGAAAAAATGAGAGTTGTCTAAAGAGACACATAGATACATAAATAAATCAACAACCAAATTAGATTTTTAAAAGGAATGTGTAGAAGCATGGGTTAGTGAGAGAAGATGAATATAAGCATTGAGCAGTCCTATAGAGAAAGTCAGGAAGGATAAAGTTCAGAATGTCGGAAACTGGTGGAGAAATCTAAGAACAAGAGGGATTTTTTTTTCCCTAGTTATGTCAAGAAGATAAAAAAAGGAAGAAGGTCACTTCTTGGACTGAATGGGACAATCATAACTAGCAACAGAGAGAAAGAAGGCTACTTAATTTTTATTTTGTTTCTATTTTCTCTACTAAGGATAGTGACCTTTGGGATGAAATAATAAAAGAAAAAAGATGCTAGCAAGGAGCTGATCCCCAAAGTAAGTAAGGAGATAGTACGAGAGTACCCAGTTTCCTATGATTAATTCAAGTCACCTGACCCAAAGGAACTATATCTTGGAGGTCAGTAGAGAGGTTAGGGCTGGATAAGTAGAGAGGTGATTATTGAATCTGTGGGAGCCGATGAGAACACTGAGTGAAATAGTGTAGAAGGAGAAGAGAAAAAGGCCCAGATCAGAGTCCTAAGGGACACCCATAGTTAAACCTATAGGTGACAGAGTATAAAGTAGAGGATAATCAACTGTGTCAAAGGCTTCATGGAAGTCAAAGAGAAGAGGATTGAAAAACAGCCATTGAATTTGGCAATTAGGAGATTATTAGTAACTTTGAAGAGAGTAATTTTGGTTGAATGATGAGTTAGAGGAGAGGAAATAGATATACTTGTATGCAGCCTTCTCAAGGAGTTTAGCTACAAAAGGCAAAAGACTTATGGGTTGATATGGGGGATAGATGGATCATGTGAGGGTTTTTTGAGGATGGGGGAGACATGAACATGATTGTTGGCAGCAGAGAAGCAGTCAATAGACAGGAAGAGAGATTAAAGATCAGGGAGAGAGTGGGGGTGATAGAAGGACCATATGCTGGAGGAGATAGGATGGAATAGGATCATTTGTACAGGTATAGAGATTTGCCTTTGGCAAAGCGAAGGACCACTTCTTCTATGAGACAAGTGTGAAGAAAGAGATAGTCGCAGAAGAAATCTGAGTAATATTAAAGGAGGAGGGAGATGATGGAGCTTACAGTAAAAGACCTCAATTTTTCTGTAAAATATATGGCAAGATTTTCACCTGAAAGGGTGAGGAAAGGGGCACACCATGGGAGGTTTGAAGAGGGATGAGAAGATTTGGAAGAAGGGCTGTGGTGACTGGGATAGTGAGTTGATAAGAGAGGTGCAGAAGAATTGACTAGGACCAGTAATGGTGTCCAGTTGAGGTTATAAAACATACATTTGTAGTAGATTCAGATGAGTTTTCTCTATCTTCATTCAGCAGCACATGTATAAGAAGAAAGTAAGCAGATGGTGGAAGTGAGCCAAAGCTAAGGCTTGGCAGGGTTCAACAGGCAACATAAGGGGGCTGGAGACCCAAGAAGAGGACAGTATACAGTTGAACTGGTTCATGAGGGGTAAAGATGTGAAAGGATAATGCAGGGGTGATGGCCTAGAAGAAAACTGAGGAATTTAGGCATTGGAGGTGATGGTGTGCATGAAAAGCAAGGTTTGGTATAAGAGGTAGAAAACTAAAAATTTGTGATCAGATAAGGGAATTTCATAGTTCTTGAAATGGAGGTGGTGTATTTGTGGCTAATGGCAAGAAATGACCATTTTTATGTGTAGCTGAGGTGAAGCAGGTCATGGAAATGAGTAGCTTGAGGAACTGGGAGTTTAGGGGTGTTTGAGGGAGCATCAGTATGTATGTTAAAGTCCCCTAGTATGAGAGCAGGACTTGGAGAGGAGAGAAAGGTAAGGGAATGTATTGGGGATTTAGAGACAATCAGAATTTTGATTGATTGATTAAATGTGAATTGTATGGAACTGAAAGGAGAAGAGGTTACTGAGTGATGGTGGTAGGAATAGAACCTGGAAGTGACAATGGATATCAAGGAGTGTTCCTACTTCCCTGCCTTGACCATTTACTCAAGCGAAATGAATGAAAGTGCAACCAATGCTGAGCATCCAGGTAGGCTGTGCCATGAAGAGGCTGCCAGGTCTCAGTGAAAGGAAGTATGCTTGAAGAGCTAACTCATTCCTCTAGTGCTACAGGGTGCTAAAGCTCTTCCTTTTCTCATGGTGCCCTTACACTGTTCCTCCAGGGCATGGTGCCTTGGTTGGGCTAATTCCCTCTTGAATCAATAGTGGCCCTCTTTAATGCCAAGAGTCACACTCCTCAGAGCTCATTTCTTTCTTTTTTTTTTTTCCTGCTCCCTGATGGGTTTAGTGTCTTCCAGACAGCTCTAAGCTAGGCCATAACCACTCTTGTCCTCCTCCACCTTTGTTAAGGCATGTTAAGGGGTCCCCTGAACTTATGCTTTTGAGTTGCCATATTTTCTAGAAACACCGGACCCAGAGTACTCAGAAGGCCCTGAACGTGTCAAAGACAAAGCCTTTTCCCTGCCCTGCCCCCGCCAGATGACATAATTTGTTGTTTGCATCTCAAACTGGACTCCCTGTGTGTCCTTGGAAGTCAAGTCTGCACTTGGCTGAGAAACTGCTTGTGCAGCTGGGACCCTTGTAGATAAGCAGACCATGATATCTTCATGATCTAGCAGTTCCCAAGTGAAAAGAATGCTGCTTTTGCATAGCTTTGCCCCTCCCCGCTGGGAGGGGTTTTATCCTTTTCCCACCTTCACTGAACCTTTCCCTCCCAGGCCAGCTCCTTTAAGTGGGGATTTATGTTTCCTCCTCCTTCCTTTGTTCTACTGTTAAAAATATGCAAACTTCTGTGTGACTTGTAAACGCTTTGGGTTCCACATGTATGTTCTTTCCTCTGTAATAAACCTAGTTTTCACTTAAGTTTTGTGAAGTTGTGATCTCCTGTTGACACCTTGCACTGGAACTTGAACTACTGATCCTGGAACACTGGTGTTCTGATAAGTGAATTCTCAACTTATATTGCCCAGCACCAAGACACCTTCCTACTACCAGAGTCTCAAACCCTACTGTGTGGGCCAACTACTCTCCCCTGCTTTCCAACTCCAGTTCCCCTGTATTATGTTTCCTCATTAGAATATAAGTTCTTAATGATCAATATGGAGATTCGTATGACTTGATTATTATAGGCTGTGAAACCATTATCCCAAATCTGCCATAGGTCTTGGAACAAGGGCACATTCCCCCTTCATGGTTCCAGGAGTACTTTTAAGGAGCTGAGGGGATTCTTTAATGACAATGGTGGCTCAAACCTCCCACAAGTGTGCTTGCTTCCACCAAGGTTACCAATTGGAAAGCATTTTAGCCAACCTTAAATAGCTTTCAGAAATGGCATGCTCTTTCCTTACATCTCCTTGCTCTTAGAACTTTGGCATAGGCTCTGCTCTCTCATTAAACATTTAGTCAATTCAACATTTGTCGTTGTTCAGTCCTGTCCAACTCTGCATGGCCCCATTTGGGGTTTCCCTGGCAAAGATACTAGAATGCTTTGCCATTTTCCTCTCCAGCTCATTTTACAGATGAGGAAACTGAGGCAAACAGGGTCACACAGCTAGTTAGTGTCTGAGGCCAGATTTGAACTCAGGAACACGAGTCTTTCAGACTCCAGGCCCCAGCACTCTATCTACTGTATCACCTAGCTGCCCTTCCCGCCCCTTCCCCCCCACCCCCTCCCACCCTACTAAAGGCGCTAGACTACTAAGTGCTGGGAATGCCAAACCAAAACGTCTCTACTCTCAAGGAGCTGACACTTTATATGGCATATAAATATGCTAGATTTTGTCCTAAGCTGTAATTGTTGAAAACTCTCTTATATTTTCATTCTCAGTCCAGATTCCTCCATCTTTATTTCTGGCTTATTTTTTTGGACTTTTTTTTTTTAATTTAGGATTTTTTTCTTTTGGTCTCTTTGACTCCTTTCTCTCCTAATTCTTTTCCCCATGCTTAGACCTGGAGGGAGGGTTCTGTGCAAGCCTTACAGATAGAAGCAGTTTAATAAATATTTGAATGTCCTATGCTCCCCCCGCCCCCAAGAGGGATGGCTGTGGATCATACATGCAGCAGCCTTGGAAAGTGAACTAAATCTGCTTAGGTTTCACGTATGCATCAGAGTGAAGCACAGCAAACATCGAACTTTGCTGTTCACTATGTAGGGAGTCCCCTAGCAAAACTATGAACTGGAAGTTTGCATATACTATCCCTTTGCTCTCTTTCTCTCTCTCGCTCTGGATATGATCCGAGAGACAAGGACTTAAGGAATGAATCCTTTTTATCTTAGAATAGGGATTATACTAAAACCCAGAACAGTTCGAGCACCCGTAAAAACCCAAAGGGCTTCGTTACCCTTTAAACTACTTCCGCTCGAGCGGCCGGAACTATCCGGAGGCATTCGTTATTTTCGCAGCTACTTCCGCAATAATAGGGAGGGGGCGGGGCTAAGCTGACGGCTGGTTCCGCGCATTGCCTTGTGGGAAAGGCAGCCGGTGCCGTCGCTGCCATTTTAGGGAAGTCCTGTAGCTGCGGCCTTCGTGTTTGAGGGGGGGCGAAGCCCTTCGTGGCCGTTGTGAACACGGAAGATCGGTCTAAGGCCTATCCGGCCCGCTCCCGGACTTCCAATCTCGGCGGAACTCTCAGCCAGTGTCCGGAGACAGCGGGGAAAGAGAAGTAAGGGAGCGCGAGGTGGGGGGAGAGGGGCCCGTAGGCGAAAGCGGCCGAGCCAACAGCGTCGTCGGCCCGCAGAGATGGGCCGGTCCCGGAGTCGGAGCTCGTCCCGCTCCAAGCACACCAAGAGCAGTAAGCACAACAAAAAACGGAGCCGGTCGAGGTCGCGGTCCCGGGATAAGGAGCGGGTTCGCAAACGCTCCAAGTCCCGGGAGAGCAAGAGGAACCGGCGCCGGGAGTCGCGCTCTCGCTCGCGCTCCACCAACGCGGCCGTGTCCCGCCGCGAGCGGGAGCGCGAGCGCGCCTCGTCCCCCCCGGACCGCATCGACATCTTCGGGCGCACGGTGAGCAAGCGGAGCAGCCTGGACGAGAAGCAGAAACGCGAGGAGGAGGAGAAGAAGGCAGAGTTCGAGCGGCAGCGAAAGATGTGAGCCCGCGGCCGGGATGGGGAGGGGGGGAGGGGGAGGGCAGGAGGAGGAAGGCCCCTCCGAGGGTTTGGAAGAGAGGATTCCTCCCGCACGGACAATTGGACTAATCGCGAAGCATGTGGTTCGAGGCAGGAAAGGCCTGGACCGGAGAAAGCTATTTTGGCGCGAGGCGGGGCGGGAGCTGGGAGGCCCGAGTTCAGAGGGAGGGCAGTGGGAGAGGGGGAGGGGTAATCATTTTGAGGCGGGGAAATGGGGTTGCAGGCCCAGTTGTCACTGAATTTTTCTTTGCAAAGATTGTTCGCACAGGGATTTGGGGAGAACTGTGTTATGTCCAGGTTGGCTCTGCGTGCATGAGAATTGGGATGTCGGGGTGTACTGATGCAATGTAAACTAACTAAATTTTTTTTTTTTGTTTCAAGTTTTTTTTTTCCCCACTACTGACGATTAATTTAAGAAGCAGTACTTATATTGTTGAAAGGAAATAGAACATTTCCTTGCTCAGCGGGATATTTTAAATATTAGATTATTCATTATTTTCTTGGAACTTTAGGATGCTAGATTTATAAATGGTAGGGGACCTTAGAGGTCATCTTCTCCGCCCGTCTTATTATGCAGATGCAGAAATCATCTATAATGTCTACATTTTTTCTAAGAGTTTTTCTAAAAGGGTCAAAATTTTCTAAGAGCATTCTTGTCCACTTTTCTCACTGTGCAGATGAGATCATTTATACTATCAAAACTCAGGTTTTGTTTGCATTTTTTAAGAGCTTTTCCTGTTACAACTATAGTACCTTCCCTTCTTACTCATTGTCTAGAAAACAAGTTAATCATAATTCATATACTATTGCCCATATGTGGAATTTTATGGAGGGAAAGAGAAAGTTAAACTTCTTTTTGAATGTAGCATTTCGATGAATTGAACTTTCATTTGTATTATGTTTAGTAGACAGAGTGCCTTCCAAAAACCCTGTGAAATAATTTGCAAGAATCATCCCTATTTTTAAAGCTGTGTGCAGAACACCCTTTCAAGTCATAGATGAGATGGGGTTCCAGCCTTCATGAGGCTTAATAAAAGTATGTGACAAATACAAAATTTTTTTAGGGGGGTTGGACGATGATAGGCAATAGGGATAAGTGACTTGCCCAAGGTCACACACAACACTTAAGTGTTAAGTGCCTGAGGTTGGATTTGAATTCAGGTCCTGATTCCAGGGCCAGTGCTCTATCCACTGTGTCATCTAGCTGCCCCTGACAAAATAATAACGTAACTACGTATGAAAGGTGCAAATAGTGCTTTTTGAGGTGGCGGGAGAGGATGAAGGTTATTATAGACTTGGAGAGAGTAAGGAGAAGGGACAACATGTAGTGTAAAGAGCTTGGAATCTGAAAGTCTGAATTTGAATTCTGACTTTTAACACATACTAGCTATTTAATAACCTTGAATCTAGTCATTTCTTTGAACCTCAGTTCCCTTACCTGTAAAATGGTGTTTAATAAGAGTTACGTGGGAAATAAAAAAAAACTCAAACAATAATAATTCATAAGTATAATAAAATAATATGTATATGAAAGATACAAATGGTGCTTTGTGAGGTACAGGGAGACAATGAAGGTTATTATGGACTTTTGGAGGTGGCATAAGAGACACTATATGTTGTAGTGGAAAGAGCTTTGGAGTCTGAATTTGGGTCCTAGCCATGTGACCTGGAATCTAGTCACTTCTCTGGACCTCATTCCCCTTTTTCTGTAGATGGAGGGAGACCATACTCAGGTTATGACCACTTTACCACTTCACAGGATTGTGTGAGGGAAATGTTTTGTGGGAAAACAATTATATTAAATCTTGCTGCTATTTGGAAGGCTTTCTGGAGGAGGTGGCATTTGAGTTTGTCTGCCTGTGCATGGAACAGCCTATACTATCTCTACCCCATTGAATATATGAGATAATAGCTCACATTAATGTAACGCTTAATGGTTTAAAAAACATTTTCTTAGCGCAGTGTTATGGGTTAATAGTGCAAATATTGTTTTTCCCACTTTGAGGAAACTGAAGTTCGTCAAGGTGAAAATGCTCACAATCATAGATAGGGCTAGCATATGTCAGGAATATTAAGATATAGACCCTTCATTTTTATAAATGAGGAAACTGAAACCCAAAAGAGGTTGTGACTTACAAGAAGTGGCAGAGCCTCCATTGGTATACAGGTACCTAACTTCATATCCAGGATTGTTTCAGCTGCATCTTGCTGCCTTTTAAATTTGTCCACATAAAGTTAGTTTAATTCAGGAATCCTTAATAGGAGATCTCTCAAGTGTTGGGGATGATCTGAACCATTTTTAAAAGATATATTTGGTTTTGGAATGTTGCTTTTTTGTTTTGAGTAAGGTCTCTGATGCCCTGGCAGTTCAGTTTAGTTTTCTTTTCATTTTTCAAACTGGAGACCAGAGTACTGACATTGTAGCTATTCCTATTCTTGTTTGACTTTTTTTCTTAATGCTGCTGAATGTCTCTGGACAGAGCCTTTGAAGACACATTTGGGAAGTTCTTGAAATTTTGGGAACTTATCAGTGTGCTGAATGAAGTTTTGGAATATGCTTGTGTGTGTGTGTGTGTACATTGTCATGTTTTCTTGAGAGCTTAACCCTTGGTAACTTGCAGTAGGCAATAGTAGTAGTAACTAGCATTAACATTGTTTTAACGTTTGCAAAGTGCTCTACAAGTATATTCTCATTTTTGACCTACATGAAATTTTGCCATCCTAGAGTACTGATACCACTGAACCCCAGAAGCCATTACTAGTGCCTGCTTCACAGTCCTCTGTAAATTACCTTGTATTTTGAGTATGTGTATTTATTATATTTTCTTTTGGGTGCACGTTATGGTGTTACCTCTATAGATTGTAAGCTCCAAAAAGGGCAAAGACTGCTTCACTTTTATATCTTTGTATAGCTATCCCCTAAAAGTGCTGGCTTATAATAGGTACTTAATAAAATACCTGTTTATTACTTGATTTTGTAAGGATGCAATTGCCATTCCCTACCATAGGCCTACTTTTTATCCTGTTTAGCTGCTTTATTCTCCTTCTTCTTATTTTCTCTTTCCAGTGATGCTCACATTCTTCCCTCTTTCCGCCTTGCTACGTTTAGTGTATTTCCTTCCCAGTAGTGTAGATCCTTCGAGTCTAGACTTTGGTCAAGACTTACTACTTTTGGACTCCCTAAGAATGTTGTAAGTCCTTCATTTTCTAAATTGTGAGGTTGTCTTTAATGTTCTTTCCTTAACCTGTTAACATAATCATGTGTGTAGTTGAAAGGAGGTCTTTTCTGGCTATAGGCCATGTATTGTGATTAGGAGAGCATGGTCAGATTCAGAGAGAGAGAGGTTTGTGAGTTGTATCTGGTAAAGATTAAAAATGGAAAAAATAGTCCTTAAGTACCTAGCAATAAGTAAATGTAACTGAGAAAAAATAAAGGCCCTAAAATCAACCTGATTTGCTTTGATTGCTGTGTTTGCTATGCAGGGACAAAGAACTTTGACTGTTCCTCATAAGTAAAAGGCCAACTTTTTCATGTATAAGTCAAGAAAAGTCAAAAAACGAGATAGAATAGACAAAATAAATGGAAGAGAGCAACATTAAAAGGAAAACAGACACAGACAACATGTCCATGACCAAGGTAAAACAGTAATTATGCAGTATTGGCTGTGAAAGAGGTGGAAACAGACTCGTCCATTGTACTTAAGTAACACTTGCAGGTACCAGTGTGCCATGTTGAAAACATACAAACTGGTAGTGTTCAGCATTGTTTGGTTACTATGTATATGGAGCAGAGAGAGACTGGTACAATAATGTATCTCTTTTGTGTGACTCCAGTTTTCTTCCAAGGAGAAGGAAAGGGAAGAATTACACATTTTTTTGATAATCATGAGATTTGTACATAACCTGAAAGGATGCAGGAAAATGTTGAGAGTTCAGTGCTCATATTGATTCATATATCCTTTATAACATTAGAATTTAGGAAGAGCTTTGTGTCTCTTCCCTTAGCATAGGTGAGTGATCCCTGAGCAGGACATTCCTAGCCTTTGGGCAGCATTTCTGCCTATTTTTAGCAAGTAGTCAATCATCTAAAACTGTGAAACGGCACAATATGATCCAGTTAAATTAGAGCACCTGCACATTGGTCTATAACAACCAGTCTACATTTATTAATCACTTATGTGCCTGGGACTGTACTAAGAATTGAGATACAAAAGAACAGTCCCTGCCCTTAAGGAGCTTACATTATCGAATGGGATGGATTCTTCTTGAAAAGAGCTAAAGGTGGCCTTTGAAAAGATACCTTTTTATGGGCAAATGCATCTCGAGGATGGCCTTGAGATTTCAGCCTCAGATAAAGCATTAGAAGCCTGGATTAGAGTTAGTTGACAGAGCAAATCAGGATATTGTATAATTGGGGCTTTGTCTGCAGAACCCACTTTTGAGCAGGCTGGCCTCTGAGCCATTTTACAGTACAATACAATATTTTGGTTGTGCTTGGTATTTTTTTTTTATTTTATAAGTCTTTGTGAATTATGTGCTCTAAAGTTTAATCATAATAAGAAAGTTGACTTGCCTTTGTTAATTCAGACACTCATGAACTAAAACTTTTGGTGATTAAAAATTTGATCAGTTTTCAAAGGAGTTGAATTATTCAAACGTATTAAGTGCTGATAGCATACTTTCCATTTGTTTATAGAGCATAGGTTAATACATGGATGGACAATTTTTTTTCCTAACATTGAAGTCATGTGCTACCTGAGGGTAACAAAATTAGAATATTGCTGGGTAATTGTATTTTCTCAGTTTAGCCTGAAAGGGAGGATTAGTTTTTCAGAATATGTTTACCTTTATGTCTCACTGGCTTACTCAGCCTGTCCTACTGGTTAATTTGCATTTACTTATTTCTGTACCTGTTATATACAGTGATATAGTAAGTTCCTTGAGGGTAAGGACTTGTTTGT